TGTATAGATTATCTGTCTTGGGCAGTGGTCAGTGAGCACATCACAAATGTAACCTTTGAACACATCTCCCTGGGCTTGTTCGTCGACATTCTGATTTTTGTTTTTTGCAACATTTTGTATCTGCTCACTTCTACCAAAAAATAATCTGATCCTTTGTGCTGTCCCACAGGCCTCTGATATACACTATCTCCATCCTGCTGCCTGCAGCCTATGTTGTGGGCCTCATCTTCACGCTGAAGACGCACTCTCACATTTATGACATCCACATCAGCGGCTGCCACGGTCAGCCTCCACATGGATGAGGGTGGGACAGTACTGTTGGGTCCAGAGAGATGGCTTTTGAAGTGTGAGAAGTGGAATCAGCGCTCATGTCTCTCTCTGTGTGTGTGTGTGTGTGTGTGTGTGTGTGTGTGTGTGTGTGTGTGTGTGTGTGTGTGTGTGTGTGCGCATGCCTCAGCATCTGGGCACCATGGCGCTGTGGTGCACTGGTCCAGGTGGAGAGCTTTGGTCATCCTCATCACAGCCACGTTACTGATGTCTGCCTGCGCTGACTTGACCACGGAGCACATCAAGCCCATCCTGGCCCACTCTCACATCTCCCAGGTATTTGCTTCATGACTCGCCTGTTATACTGGGGTCATCCAAACGCTGTGGTGCTGTAAGAGAGGTAGGGCCTCATCAGTACCTCCTCCATAGCACAGGAGAAATTACATGTTCTATTGTTGATGGAGTCATTAGTGTTGAGAATATAGGACACAGTAACCACCTCTTTCTCTTGTGGCAGTATTTCATAGGCGTCACCGTGATCGCGATGATCCCTGAACTCCCAGAGATTGTCAACGGCATTCAGTTTGCCCTGCAGAACAACATGAGTTTGAGGCTGGTTCCTGTTAAAATCTCCTCCTCTTTGTTTTTTGATTGGCCTTCAGGGCAATGTGCTCATTCTTTTATTCCACCCTGAATAATGGCTGTTTTTTTTTTTTTTTTCTTTTCCCCTTTTGTCTCCAATCAGCCTGGAGGTTGGAAGTTGTCTAGCTGTGCAGGTTTGCATGCTGCAGATCCCAGTCCTCATCTTGTTCAACATTTTCTGTGTGAGTTCCTTTTCTGTAGCTTGCTAGTCTCCCAACATTCTTGGAACACAGCTTTACAAACCTGAGCATTTTATCAAAACATGGCATGCCAGTGGCATCTGGCATCTGGAATCTGATCACATGCACCAGATCAGGAGCTCTGCCGAAATGCTGACTCTGCTGCCTGTGTTTTTTTGCGGAGCCCCGGAGGAGCCACAGAGTCAGTTTTTCTTATTTTATTTCATGTGCTCTAAATACTAAATCAAATTCAGGCAATCCCTTACTTTTATGTGCTCAGTTTGGTCTTTCGGTCATTCAGTTAAAGTTTAGTGAAGTGTGCCTTCGTAGATTATTGAACAATTTCAGATTTGTTGCTTGTGTCGTCCTCACAGTAAAGATGTTAAAGGCATGTGCCAGCAGCCCTTTGTGGTGAACGTCCTATTCGCTTGTTTTGGCAGGATGTTGGCTTCGTACTCATATTCAGCGACCTGCACCTGTGGTCCAGTATCTTCAGTGTCATCCTTGTCAACTATATTTTCATGGACGGGAAGTCAGACTACTTTCAAGGTAAATTGTGCATCCTGGTGTAGTTTCCAGCAACACCAATGGCTGTGAGTTACATAGATTTGTGAGCATCTGCAAGTACCTAGAATGAAAGCCTTGCAGGAAGGAGGAGAATAATTGAATTTTAGGATTATGTTAGTTTTGCTGAAACACTAAACCTCATTCTTTGAGCATTTCATGTGATGTAGACAAAGTTCTCTGTCTTGACCCAGCCTTGAGACATGAGACAGAATAAACATTCGTCCTTGACTCTGGCTTGGCACTTGTACAACATTTTACTGTAATATGCCTCATTTGGATTTTTTACTTTACAGTAACTTTTTTGTAGTACTGAATACTGCAAACATTTCATATTGCTTTAAGTGTAATTGTACATACATTCTTGCTAAACAGGTATAGTTGTTGCAGAAGGCCATATTCATAGTAAACATCTTTTTATGCCAATAACAGTTTTGACTGGTATTGCTTTAAAATTTTTGCTGTAGTGTGTAATGACTGAACATTAGTCTATGTACTGGCTGGCTTGGTGCGTGATCTGAAAGCAGTGTTTGGTTTTGAGCAAAGATAAAATAGTTTTGAGTAGATTGAGTCAAAGGTTTTTTTATTTTAATGTAGTTTGAAAAATGGGTTTTGTTTTTACAGTTTTGAGAAAAGAATGGAAGGTTTCAGGAAATGTGCTTTAGCAATTCAGAAACTAAAGTACAAGTTAGCACTGTGAAGTTTATTCCGGCAGTCCAAGGAGACGCAGGCTAACTGGCATCTGTACCATTGCACGTGGTGTTTGTGTGTGTGACTCTGCATATCCTGCGTACCCTGTGCTAGACAGACATTCCATCTTCAGGCCATCCTGCAACCCTCCTATGGAGCTGGAGGATGAATGGATGCGTAATCAATATTGCCCTCTAGTGGACATCTGAAGTGTTCTATTTTGGATCTGAGACCTTTTATATAGGAGGTTCAGGATTCATCTCCATTTGGTTAGCAGTAGCCTGGGTGTGGTGTGTCCATATGTAACTCTTCTGTTCCCTTGGCCAGGTACAGCCTTGGTGGTCCTCTACCTTGTCTTTATGGCCCTCTACTTTTTCGCACCTTCACCTGCTGGCTGCTAAGAGGGGGGGGCTTCAGTCCTGCTTTGTGATGCTGCTTTTTTGTTGCTGTGTTCAAATTGTGGGCATTGTGGGTTTATCTAAAGTTTCCTTGCTCCATTCCATACAGGAATCGTAGATGACTTTGTCCTTAGCAATACTTGATCTGTCTTTAAATGTTTGGGTGACTGTCACATGGTGTAAAACAAGTGCTTTTTTATTTGTCATGTGAACTGCAATATATTGGGTAAAGATTAATATTTTTGTAAATCTAATGGAAATACTGTAACTTTTAATAGAAAACTGACAAATCCACATTTTGTAATGAAAAGCATGTTAACCATAATTAAAATATTAATTCAAAGCAGCTCAGAGTTTGTGAAATGTTTACATCACTGGAGGGTGACCTAACACATCCGAGGTCCGTAACACTAATGTAGTGGAACTGGGAGACCGGTTAGCAGTATTTATGAATTGCCAGCAAATAAAGCCATTGGATCTTTGCAAACCAAGCTTCTCTAAGTATAACTGCATAAATTCCATGTGTGCTTAAATGCAAATGAACAGGATTACACAAATAATGCTATATTCAACTTATCATTCAAGTTTATTTTTTTTCAGCATTGAGAACATAAAACACGTACACAAGTACTGACAATTAGCGATTTTGCCTTAAAACCATTTCCTGCATGGTCAGGACGGTGGCTTCAGTCCAGGAAGCCCTTCTACCCAACATCCCGGAAATAACATCATGCACACGAGGTTCAAGTTCCATGCATAAACAAAAGGAGGATGGGCATGGAGGGTCAATTTGGTGGTGGGTGCAGCAAATGTAATTTCCCCTGGGCTCCATAAAGTATGATCGTATCGTTTTCTATGCTGTAAACCATCCAGTTAGTCTGGTTAAATACTCACACTTCAGCATGACAGCAGTGCCAAGCTAATCCAAAACATCACTGAACACAGCAAGAGGGAGTTTTTTTTTGCTCTACAAAATCTGTGGCCATATTTGGGGAAAAAAATGACAATCCTTTTCCTTGTTCATGTGCAATGTGTACATCTGAGTGGGGTCACACCCTCTCTTCCATGAAACATCCAGCCTGACACCTTGGGGTGTAAAAGCTGCTCTGGTGGGGGAGGTGGCATAGATAATGCAAACTGTCTATTGGGATTAGCAGGTTACCAAAGGTTACCGCCCCTCGTTACAGCTTCCAAGCCGCAGTCAGACCAGAATGCCTTAAAATCGCTTCCTTCCACTCTGTCTCTCATGCCCCTTACCACACAGTACAACTGGGTGCGACGAGTTAAACATGCTGAAGTTACCAAGCTCGACCCCTAACCCCCTCAACACACCCGTCTTTTTTTTTTTATATAAACATAGCATTTATTGCAAAATACCTGCTGGTATTACTTGGGGAAGTAATTTTAATAGATTTATCTAAAGGTTCAGCTCTTTTGGAGACAGTACTTTAAAGGCACTAATGAAAATGTGCAGTTATGCATGACCCCATATGTCACTACCCAGGGCAAAGGTTCATAAGGAACTCGCAAGCAAAGGCTGGTGGAGTCAGTTTAAGACTTAAGGTCCAACTTTTATTTAAACAGAACATTTTAAAGAGTAAGATGCACCCAGATTCACAGTGATGTAATTATTTGGTCAAACTGGTTCTAGGTGAGGAGTACTGGGACCAGTGGGGAATGGCTGCTGGGAGACAATTGACGGCCCCCCCCCACTGTCCACACCAGCGGCCCTCTCTGCCATTCGCCTGGACAGAACCAGAATAAACCAGTCAGCCAGCTCCGAATAAGCAAAAGAAAAAACCCGCTTTCCCCATCTGCTTTTACCCACTGCCATTAAAAACCCTGAAAAAGGAAATTCATGACAAAATTCACTTCTATTGTAAAACTGAGCAAATGTGAATCCATCTTCATGTCCAACAGGAAACTTGCAGAGGAGAATATGGCCACAAAAAAGCCAATGCAACTTTAAAGAAAAAAGCAAGATTATGTACAAGAAATGCATAAAGAAAATGAAATCAAGGGGGGAAAAAAAAAGACAGATTGCCATATGTGACTGTACATTCCTAATTAGCACACGCTACGTACTGCGCGATGCACGCATGCAAACTCCAGGGAGACGACGGCATTGGTTCAATGTCCTCCATCTGTGTGCTCGGCGTGACGGCTCTAAGACAAAATTCCACCTGGCTTTAAAATAATTTTTATATATATATATATATATATATATATATATATATATATATATATATATATATATATATATATATATATAATAAAAATAAAATAAAATTTAAAATGCCGCAAAAAAAACCCCAAAACACACAAAGGCATCTGATGATTTGGTTTTAAGGCGGGGGCTATGTTGGAGGAGCCCTCAAAGAGCCCCCCCGCTCAAGTCCAGCGATCCGCATCCACCAGACCGCCTCATCCGTGCTCCTCGGTGCCGAAAGTGGGCCACCCCGGGCCTCCTGGGTCTCCCCGTTCACTATTTCAAGCGCTCGATGAGTTCCTGCGTGAGGCCCAGGTTCAGCAGCTGCATGGGCGGCAGCAGGGACAGCTGAGGGAAGCTCCGCAGTAGCTGTTCCCAGCAGAGCTCCAGCAGGCTGGGCACCACCAGCCAGATCCTGAAAAGGGAGCCAGTGCGCTTGTTCTCGTGAATGTTCACCACGCCGCCATGGATGTACATGCAGCCCGCCTGGGAAGAGAGACACGACACAGTCAGAGCCTAGAGTGGGTCCTGTTTCATAGGCCAGCACAGTCATAGCATTTAGTGACTGTCCACTAATCCCTGGGAAATGTTAGGGCTTTAGATACACAATGAAATACTCTCCTTGGTCATAGTCAGGTCAGGTCGGCAGCATGCACTGGTACAGTGCATTGCTGCACCCACCACACGACAAAACACCTCGGGATCCCAGTTGGTGACCCCCCAGGCTGACACGCGGTCCAGTCCCACCCTCCGGAAATGGCTGCCAATCTGCCGCAGCGAGGTGTTACAGATGGCAGATGGACAAGCACGAAGACGGGCTGACGGACAAGCACTGACCGGGGTCACAGCAGCGCAGTGGAAGTAGGCTGGCTCGGGCATCACCGCGGGCAGCCGCGTCCACTGGAACGTTTGCAGGCTGATCTTCCACAGGTCGGCCAGGATCACTTCCCCGTTGTAACCACCACACACAAATACATCTGCAGAGATGGGAGCAGCGATCATCACACAAAGGAGGATGCAGGCAGAATCAGAACCAGAAACAGGGGTACTTTCTACGGGAATGACAGGTGTGTCCCACCCAGAGAGAGGGACAGAAGCTTAATGTTTTCATTTTACAGACGAAAGAAGCTCACCGCTCTTAATCTGCACACAGCTGTGGCACCGTCTCGCAGCTGGGTACCCTGCAAAGATCAGAGCACCAAACAGTCACCGTACAAGGAGCCCAACACATCTGCTCATCTGTGCAATATGCTCCTTCTCCAAGTAAGCAGACCCACCCTGCGTTTGCTTCCATTTCTGTTCTGCTGTTCAGGTTTAGACAGAGTCAAAGAATCCATGACTAACCTATTTTTTCATGTGGCCTGGTGGTGATCTCCTCCCACGAGTTTGTCTCCAGGTTGTATGCGTGTATCTGAGACGTAAACAGAAGACAGCAAAACATTAACTTACCAGTAGCTACACACTTAGCTTTTCATCTAAAATCTACACCTGGCATTTTTTAAAATTTATTTATGACCCTTCCATCTCCAGCTGCCCTGAAACGCAGGTCCTGCACCCAGTAGGTATCACTGCGTGCAGGTTGGCAGGATTCAGGAGGGCAGAGCGCAGGGCGCCGCTTCCTGGGTGCCTGGGCTGAGGGGCCACAGCACTGCTCCCACATGGGACTGCTCACGGTACCTTGTCTAAAGGGTAGGAGGTCCAGGAGGTGCCCCCGCCCAGGATGTAAATCCGTTGGCCATCGTGTGCGATTTCATGCCTGTACCTGAGAAACGGCCATCGGCTGGTTAGGACAAAACTCGGCGTGGCAAATTAATCATCTAATTCATTACGGTTCTTATGGGAAAACTGAGTGTAGTTGAGACAGAACAGATCTCCTGTCCAGCAGCATAACAAAGAAACCCCAGCTCTAAAGTCACCCCTCCCCAAAGCAATTAGCAAATAATCAGAAAATGTATCGCCTGCGATGTACTGTACAAGTGAAACAGAAGCATGCCAGGTCAAGATAAAATGTGTAAGAATACAGATGCCAAGGTCCTTCTAGCACAAACTCTTCACTGTCGTCCGGGCGACACTGAGCTCAGCAGCTCTCGGCTCCAGCTGCAGCCCAGATGTTCCATCCTTTGGATACTGAGCTGCAGGAGGTTCTTACATGGGAAATAGAGTTTTTAATACTGTGTGCATCTATTCACTTTATGTTCCTTTGCTGCTGTTTGCAAATGAGTGTCCTCCTGGAATCAATAAAACACTTCCACTTCTTTCCCTTCACTCATATATCCCAGTCACAGAAATCTGAATAGCCAGAAGCATGAGCCAGAATTGTATCTTGAGTCTGTGATGTAAAGAATGGTAATAGGATTGTTCCTATTACATCATGCAATTACTGCATTACTCTTTCTTCTCTTCACTGAACTTGGGTCTAAAGCAGTTGCATGCTTTTGAGAAGCTTAGGAGAGTTATAGACGTTAAAGGAGGAGGTCACCTCTCCTCTGGAAGGTCATCGGGAGGGTTGGTGGGCTTCAGGTGGATCCACTCGCGGGTGGTGAGGTCCAGTCGGTGCAGGTCTGTGCTGTAGACGTAACCTGTGGTCCCTCCAAAGACGTACAGGTAGCCGTTGATGATGACCATCGCCTTGATTAATGAGAGCTCTGCTTAAACGCCAAGGCGCCCACCACACAGGGCAGAGGCACATCACCTGTCTTCTGCTGATCAGCCACCAGCAGCCCAGCCAGCACATCATTCACTCGCAGTTCTAATGACATATTAATCAGCTAGTAAAGAGCAGAGATATGGCTGCAGCCATTTATGTGGATTAATGTTCAGCTGGCGGGGCAGCTCTCCCTCTCACCTGTCCGTAAATCCGGTTGGGCTTTTTCCCGCGGCAGTTCAGCAGTGACCACCGCTTGTACTTCACGTTGCAGACATGCACATCGTTGCCGTTGTTCTCCCCAAAGGGGATCCCAGTGCCGCCAAACACCAGCAAGTTGTTTCCGTGCAGAACAGCTAAATGCCAGCAAGCAGATTTCAGTGGCGTTTCAGTTTAATTCACCTGCACACTTCGAAACAGGAGGTTTAAAAAGAGACCCAAAATTTTTAAAGCTTACTACATTTAAAACTCCAACTAAGTCAGCAATTTTCACAAGAACAAATGCAAAACCTCCCCCTTTCGCACAGCATATCCAACAGAAACCAGATTTACCAGCCAGTACAGTAAAAAGCCATATGGAACCTCAGCATGGGATGTGTTAGATCTATTTAACACCATCCTCGTGACGTAAATCAGGACACATCTTAAATACCATGTTCCTCATAATCGGCATGTGTATTTATTCATTAGGTATCAACCCAAAGCTAAAGAAAATGTGTCAGAACATGAGCCAATCTATCACCAACCTCTCACCTGACATAGATGCCAGCTCTGTGGGCATGTGGCCCTCCGTGCGGATCTGCTGCCAGGAACCGCTGGCAAAGTGATACCGCCAGAGCTCCCGGAACAGCGGGTAGTCCTCGTTCTCCGAGCCACCCGACTCATCGTAATCCGGGTTGTACCCACCAAACACGTAGAGGCTTGAGTTATCTGCCACACAGCGGTGTCCGCTCCGAGCAGGGGGCGTGCGGTGTCCTGTTGAGATGGACAAGGGGGGAGCATTAAAACAATGCAGATATTGCCCCATCCTGATACCTCGAAAAGCAAATTTCCACCAGTAATGAACTGATAGTCAGCCAGTCCAAGTAGTCCTCATGATCTAGCTCGCGGAAAGCTTCAGTCCACACTGTCTATAAAAATGTTCTTCACCTTCTTTACCACCTTGGTACTCAAGGCAGATGCAGCAAAATTCATTAAGTAATTTCAATGAGAAATCCTCTGCACCAAAACTCCAGCTGAAAGAAAACACTGGAACAAGCTATAAAAACCTAGAAGGTCATCATGGGTAAAACTGTTTCCCGTATCCCAGAGTGCCCTGCGAAAGTAGTTTATCCACTTCCACACAAACACTTCTGAACACAGTTTGCCATTTTCAGTTAGGAGCATTCAGCAAGGACGTTCGGCCTAAAGCACAACACCATTTCAACACTGTTCCATACACCTTTCAGAAGCTGTGTACAGTTTGGTTCTTTTAATTCACACATGGTGAAACTCAAAGCAGCTGAGATTTTGACCATCTATAGAGGTGGAAAATGTTGGTTCAGATAAAACATTAAACAGGTTAAATAGCTCCAGAAAACATAGCAACAGTGATGGATATTCGCAGCACAATTCTACCTACTTTTTAGCAGTGCAATTTGTAAGAAAGATTTTCAAAAACCGATTTACATCAGAACAGAATTTTGACAGTTCACTCAACTTTGTCATCTCTTTAATCCTAAGCACTATCATTTCCAGTAAAATCTGGAAGCCAGACTCCCCCAGACTGAAGGTTTGCACGACAACACAGGCCAATGAAGCAAAAGACTGGGAAGAAGAGGGACAGGCAGGGAGACACTACAGGACGTCGTCATTCACCCCAGAGACAGTCACGTGGATGGACATGATCCCCAGCAGTGGTCAGACCACCCAGCATGATGAAGAGCAACTGGGCACCGGAGAAAGAGAAAGCAGAGCCTCAAACCCAAGTGGGGGGGGGGGGCGTGGTTAGAGACAGAGCATCTTACAGTCCTGCTTCTGCCTTTGCAGGACATGGAGGCTCTGAACAGGTGAGCCTCATTCTATCGACCTGGTGGTGGCGTATCTTAGCTGGCTCATTACCCACCTTCTCTCAAAAACCTGTTAGGGATCCGCAGGCTGGGACAAGAGTAGATGAAGATGCGGCGAGTCTGCAGCCAGCGGACTCTCTTCTTAAAGCCTGTCACCACAACCACCAGCAATGAGTCAGTCACACAGACAGCGCAAGACAATGGAGAGAAAAACAAAGGGGCATGCTACCCAGAACCGCAGATCTCCACACAGCTGTCAACCTCTGGTGAATCTCAGCCGGAACAAATACAGACACAGGGGACAACGGTAACCATGTGAAAGTAACTCATTTGAAATGTGAAATTAGTGATGCACCCAGAAGGGAATTTCTGGCCGATACCGACCAGCCGATCATTTCCAAAAGTGACACCACTCCACCCAAGTCATTTAAAAAAATACATTATGAAAAAGTTTTGTATATTTTTTTGGCAAGAAAACAACTCTGGCATACAACAGTCACAGAGTACTATATTTTATAACTATACATCTTATATGTTTATAACATTTATAACAGAGAAGGGCTGATCATCAAGTGTGATAACCTCCAAATTTTCCAGATAACATCTTTTGATTTCACACTGTCCGCACTGAATTTTCTTTTGCTATCAAACGCTTGCTTTACTGACGGACTTGCATTATTCCACAGAACTGTAGCCTTCATTATTGGAACAGATTTTTTTCAGAAACTCTGTCTCACCTTAGGGTGAACAATCAGATTTCTTGTGCTGAAATGATTATTACATTCTCCACATTAAATTTTAGCAGAGCAATGTTTGCAAAATGCATTTCTAACTAGGAATGGGCTGACCCACATTTTTTCAGTTTCAATCTGATTCTGATACAAAACTGCTGATACCGATAAGAACTTGCACTTCGTTGCAATCGCAGCCCCGCGTGCATCCCAAGCCATATTGAGTGTGCAAACAGTCCAAGCTAGCGACTCCCAAATCATCCATTGCTTTTTCCATTTCCATATTACTCGCAATGTCTCACACAATTGTGTGTGCTTTGTTTAGTGGAATTTTCCAGTAAATGCTACTTCCACCTCTCAAAACTTTTTTTATAAACATTGCAAATCTATGTGCTATTAGTTGCTGTTAAAAGCATAAAATACTTCCAGATTGTCATCTTCTTATCTGATGTTATTACACTGACATGGATCAGTCAGATATAGCCGATACCAAATCTGTCAAACAGGTCTGGATCGGCACCGATACCAATTCGAATATTGGATCGCTGCATCTCTATTTCTAATGTTGTTTTCATAGCATGTTTCTGTCCATTTAGTATGTGGGTGTACAAAGCAATATGGGTCACCATTTTAAAGGAAATTATCGGTGGTAAATATCGGCTCATTTTTAACCATCGACAGATGGCCGATTATTGCTGTATCAGCAAATACAGATAGCTGGCCCATACAATCGGTGCATCTCCATTTAAAATCATGGCCCTTAGATTGTCAATAGGTACCTGGGAAGGGGAGAGATGGAATACATAAAACAGCTCTTTAAAAATCATAGAACATTTCCAGTCCTCTGTATTGATAATTACAACAAAGATTTCATATATTTTGAAAAAAGGTTTGCACAATAGACTACAATACACAGTTTAATGAAGAATGATTCCGTTTAAGTGACGGATTGTGCAAAAAATGCACTTATTCAGGCCTTGTAACCTGAAGTTCACGGCTCAGAATACAGGGAGCACAATTGTTTTCATCATCAAGCTGCTTAACTGCAACTGCTTTAAAACTAAAGCTTCAGCTGTAGAAACTATTAAAAAAAACTGTAGCCTGTGAGAATATACAGCACCATAAGCCAAGCAGCTTCATATCAAGAGCCATTAGTATTGTTCCAAGAAAACAAACCAACAGCTGATGCACCACCTTCTCCACCCTGCAAGTAAAGCGATGAAACAGACGTGTAAGCATTTGTAGTTGTAGACAAAGTAACTCCACAGAATTGGCATGGGTGCATAGAGGGACACCGCGGCAGAGACAAGTCAGCCAAACTGGATACATGGTTACACTGGAATTTAACTGTGAAGATCCCTTGGGAGGAACCACTTCATTGCAAATTTAGCAACAAAAATTCAGTGTAAAGGTCACAGGAAACACTTCAGATGAAACATATCTAGCAACTATCAGAAGCAACAAAACATCCGAGACACCTAGGTTCAGGTTACATCCCTGTGAGAATACCATCATTGTAACAGTCTACATATAACAGTCCAGTGAATGGACCCAATGATTCACGCTTTCACATGAACTTCATACTTTTTGCCAGACAGTCGTTTATGAAATAACAGGCTGAGTAAGATGAACATACCTTCATGAGAAGATAATTCATAATCTTAGGATCCAAACAGCTTCTACCTTAAGAACACCACAAGCATATGCAAGCAGCACAAACATATGTACTTAGACAGGCCCTGTATGTCCTGGTGCAGCCAGCATTTCCCAAGGAAGACATTCCTTTCCAACAACATTCCTTTGTCAAACCCTCTAAAAACCGGTACATCATCAGCTGCGCCAATATTTAGAAGCAACAGTTCCGGGCAGATGAATAAACATGGAATAAAAAGTAAGTCAATACCACGCTAATACAATTATCAAACATATCTATATAGGCTTATCAGTTTTACCGGACCTTCAACAAATGCTGGAAAATAAATCATTTCATCAGACTATGAGCAATAACGTCATTCTGTTCCGAATTTTGACAAAGCCCAGAATGTGTCAAACCGTTCAGATCAGCAGGTAGTACTGCATAATGCTGTCATAACCTCATATGATTTAAGGGTCCGAGGAGGAAATTCTGTCTAAATTGTTAATATTGCATGAATGTCTAACTGATGATGCGCAATTGAGAGCATAGTGGGTGAATGGCGTAGGATCAGGCAGACGGGACAGCCTCGCCAGCCCGGTGCTGCACGGCCCGTCCGAAGCGCTTCCTGGCTCTCCGAGAACCAAGGTCAGGGCCGTGCAAAGAGCGCTGGCCTGGGAAACGCTCTCTGCGGGGAGAAAACGCGTCATCTCCCGCCACAGTGTGTAAGAAAACCTGTAACATCGCACCTTATCAAGCCACAGCAGAAAAGTACCATTTTACCGCTCATATAGCCCTCAGCGCGTTTGCTAAGCAGCAGACTGCAGGATAACGCAGCGATACCTGTTCGCAACGCCTAAAACCACCGCAACAGTCACGGGGACGGTAAACAAGGCCGGTGGACTTTAATACTGACTATTCAAAGTAGCAAGTTAAAAACAAACCAAGTATGGCTCTAAATGAGCCAAATGGATTAATGCTTTCAGATAGTCCAGTCCGAAAATCAGCGGCGACCCCCGCTAGGTAATTGGGACCGAGATGTAGCACTTCGCCACAGCCGGTACAGTTAACACACCCGGTAACGCGCGCGGCAAGAGGCAGGTTTACTTCGCTAACTGCTATCCGGTCACTTTTATTAGCTGGCTAAGCCCGTTAGCACCCGCTGGTTACCTAAGCGGCGAGCCGATTGACGAGCAAAGCCTGACTGAGCAGGTTAAGCCGTTTAGCGGACGGTATCGGCGCCGCGGGGGCGGCCGGCCGGCCGGCGTTCGCACTGACCTGCCGCCCGGAAAGGAGGCCGCCCTGACAGCTTCTCGAACCTGTTCAGCTGCTCGGCGCCGTCAGCGGCTGACATCTTCCCCGCCGAACGCCGCGGACGGGCGGAATTAAATGCCGGAAAAACACGAACACAGGCGCACACACCCCTCCGACCCGCTTTTTTCACATTCCCGAAGCTGCATCAAAACAAGTCGGCCGCCCCTACCGGCGAAAGGGGCGGCGAATCTGCGCGGGCCTTAAATACGGCGGACGAATGGCCGAGGCCGACGTTGGGGCTGATTACGCGGGGCGGGGAGGAGGAGGCGGCCCGCCGGGGTGGAAGGGGGTTACCGGCCGGGTGTTGTGGCAGAGTGTATCAAGATCGTTATATTGCACGATGATTCAGTATTCAAAGTGCTTTATTCGCACATTCATGTTTATTGGGGTCCACTTGTTTTAATTAAAATAAGAGCAATGAAGCTGACTGATTTTTTTCAAAGATATCATATCTTCAAAAGATACCCAGCTCCCTGGAAATTTAAACAAAGAAAAATTGACCAGTTAAACCAGTCACAAACAACCATTAATTATACATATACTGATGTTCCATATTTATTTAATGTCATATGTGTCATTAAATCGACGTTAATTAAACTGTAGCTAAAGTAACACATAGGCTACTTTAGTTCAATTCCGTTTTATCTGTATAGCCCATTTCCACGTCATTACATTGTCTGAAGGCTTTACATTATTCCTGCCCGAAGCCCCCACTGAGCAGGCCAGTGGCAAGGAAACGCTCCCTAGAAGGAACAAACCTTGGGAGGAACCGGACTCAAAGGGGGAGCCCATCCTCCAGGGCCGGCAAGGGAAGTCAAATGAACAAAATATAACAAAATCCTAATTTATACAGCCCCGATTTTAAGAATCGAGTCTAAATGCGGAGGGCAGGCATTTCTGACACAACAGCACCACATAACTAAAGTAGCATACATACTATGATTAAAGTGACACACACATTAATAGGCTACCTTAAGCGAAGACACGCACTATAACTACAGGGAAGCGCGTCCCGGGGAGCGATTTCAGTGCGGGACCCGCAATGGCGGCGCTCGGCGGTTGTAGTAACTCTGCTGACAATTTAAGTGATAAAAATAAGTCTCCCCAAGTGACGGCGCAGAAAGTACGACAGCTTCTCAACGAGGGCGTCGCATCAGAGGACAGCAAGCAAAAGTAGTAATATTTTTCATTCGCAATTATTGTATCTTTTTTGCCTTAACGTTCATTTCTCAAGCAGCAGCCTGCCGTCATGCCCGTAGCAAAAGGGGATGGGAAACGTGACTGACGATCGGTTTAATGTAATCTCGGCTAAATGAGCAGTTGGAATGTCAATTAACTGGGCACTCCACAAACGGATATCTCTGTATATAATTAATACATTTCCCTTACAACGCCAAATGCTTTGAAGAAACAAGTACGCACTTGTCTTTTAAACGTATTTATAATGTGAAGGAGCTTAAGACCGATGCTAACGCGTTCTGTGTTCTTTATTTTCGTTATTTTTTCATTACTTATTATTTTGAACTTCGAATCTGCATTGTTTTGATCATTTCAATTGCCTTGAACGTGCTTTTATTGTTTAAAAAAGGGTTAATGCAGGGCGAGTCGCCTACTATACGTTTTTAAACGCACGGTTGCGAAGGCAAATGTAAATTAATGTATTCAGCTATTGTTTTTTATCAATTTAGCTTTATGTAACACCTGGTTTTCAGCAGCATTATGGATAAAAGCCGATTTATTTACCGTTTACCAATTATTAAAACCGGATTTAATAATCTCACTTGTTTATTCAGACTCAATTTGAGACTGTAATTTATGAATGGACTACAAGTGTATTACATCAGTAAAACCTTTTATTTAATCACTGACCACAGGTCCTGGTACTCAGCAGTTTCTTGGCTTTTGTAGTTTTCGGTAAGTAAGGTTACTTAGAATTAAAGATTACAGATTAAAGATTATAATACAGCGATCCCCCGCTATATCGCGGATTTTCACCCGACGCATCACAGTTCTCTGCGTATCGCGTACCTTGCTTGTGGTCCAATTGTTGTGAGCAAACATTTTGTTAACTTTTCGTTTTGTTTTAAGCCCCACGATATAATGCTTGAACTATAATTTTTTTTTATTTATATGGTCTTTCTATATATCGGATTTTCACCTATCGCTGAAGTTACATTCCAGACCCATCAGGCGAATTACTGAAATGCATTGATTGGCATGGCCGGCACGTGTGCGTTTATAGGAAATTACACCTTCAGACTGAAGAATCTGATAGTGCCGTGGTATAAAGGCAGGTAAAATATTGAACAGTAAGGCCTGATTTATGTTATGTATACAGTATATATGTTAAAATTCTAATGTTTTTGACCTGTTTGGCGTTCCATAGCGTCGCGTCTCCTCGCGTGAAGTATATCGCTACACTAAGAATGCTTGTGAAATAAGTAAATGGCAAGTGTATGTAATTGATGCTCTGATGAAAATGTCAGCAACATCGATATTGTATGAAAACGCTGTTTCCTCCTTCCAGTGCAGAGGCGGAACAGGAAGGAGAAGCAGTGGCCCCAAACGGGGTCACACAAATACCCTGCGAAGCTGTGAGCAAGGAAGCTTTCTTTTTAAGGGTGGAGTCATATTCAATATCCTTACCAGACACTAAATTTAGATCCATAGATTAAAAATATGTGCATGGGGAGCCATCTGATTTTTATAAGAGTTGCAAGCTGTTAAACCATGACCTGGATTCTAACTTTTTGCATGTGCCTGATTTTTCCTGTGTTTGAGAGGGTATCTTCCTTTACTCTGAGAACTGTCTGAAATGGGCAGGGAAGCCCACCCTTCTCTCGCCCCTGAGGTGTGCGCAGTACGGCTGGGTGAATGTCGACTGCGACATGCTGAAGTGCTCCAGTTGCCAGGCCTTCCTCTGTGTGTCGCTTCAGCCCACCCTGGACATTGAGAAATGTACGTTGTGACGCCGGGGTCCTGGAGGACCAGCACTTGGTCACATACTTTTATTTCTGCGCCATTTCCCACCTTATATTTGCATGGGCCCCCTTCTGGCCACTGACAGCCACTACACTAAAGGGGGCAGGGGGCCTGGACGTGACTTTAGCAGGGCCCAAAAACAACAGGGACATCCCTGCTTGTGCTAATATTGTTTTCATATTTTGCCACCTTGAGTTTACCATCAGTGTGGGCTGTTAAGTGCTTCTTGTATTTGTTAAAGATGATGGGCGCCTTGGTGAGCTGACCACACTCCTACAGACGCAGCATGAAAAGTTCTGCTTCTGGCCTGACTTCCCATGTCCCGGTGAGATGCCTGATGGGGTTTTTTTGGGCTTTTTGATTGGTTCCTGTTGTGTGGGAGGTAGGGCTGTGCGATATGGCATAAAATTCATATTGCGGTATAATTTGAACCATAGACAGTAGACGGTATATTTTGCGGTATATGATTTGATCTGTAAATTTCAATATAACTGTTTTTGAAAGGGTAATGTATGTCCATAGCAAAGGCATTGCACCAGGAAGTTGTATAATAAACTGTTAAAACATTTCATAGTCATTAGTAGTCATGAACGTAGAATATTTATTGTGCAAATCTGCAATTGTAGAAAAAATATGAAAACATTTCAGGTAACTTAACTGGTTTTATCTTATATTAAAAACACAGGTTGGGTTTGTAAACTGTATAGGTAAGCAGAAAACAAGACACAGAACTAGACTAGTGTCATAACTCCATCTATATTAGTATGACCGTCTCTCCCATAAAGGTCCTGGCAGGCAGAGTCCTGCACGGGTTCGGGTACCCGACGGGTGACCCGCAAATTTTGAAGAAACGGGTGAAAAATATTCTACTCTGTCGGATACGGGTTCGGGTCAGGTCAGACGCAGGAGAGCTAAATTGTGGTTTTCAAAACATCATGTGCCAACAAAAAAACCCTAGGGCTATATTTTAGTGACAAAATCCCTGCATTAGAGATGATTAAACTTAAAATCCGTATCAGTTTATGCCTGCACGCGCATTCCCGGAAATCTCTCCCACTTTCATTTTCAAAAAACGCATGCGATCTCCTCCAGTTGTTCGAAATGGATGCTGAAGTAGTCAGCTGAGGCCATCAACTGTGGACGATATCCTTTTTTACACAGTAATATAAAGCACCGCATCAAACGCTAGTCTTCGCCTTCGCGTAGGAATTCCAGTCGACTAATCAAAGGAAAATGGACAGTGCACGTAGGTAGCCTATAAAACCCAATACTGTGCAAGGGTAGCCTAATGTACATTATTATATTAGTTTTATTAACATTTAATTGTAAGCTGGTAAGGCTATGTATGGGCATGGAAATATAAAACATTTGAGTTTGGAGTTAGGCTACTACCATTTGTTTTGCTTATTAGGCTGTTATTAAGCAACATTTACATTTGGCTATGCCTTTTCAGCTGATGTTGCACATGTCACTGGTCGTTTGTTGTGCCAATAAACTTTTGTCTTTAATTTTTAATCTGACTGATTTTCATTCGGTGCGGGTCGGGTGTCGGTATTTATTTATAGCGGATCGGGTCATTTTATTTTATTTCTGTCGGATAACGGTTCGGATATGGGTTTAAGTATGACGGGCGGGTGCGGTTTGTCAAAATCAGACCCGTGCAGGACTCTGCTGCCGGGTGCAACAATAATCATATAAACAATTTTCATATAAATAAATTATTTATTATTTGACGCGACTTCATTACGTCATTTTTGCGGGCAAGGAGCAGAAATTTCTGTGGTAGGGTGGTATAATCAAAATCTCTCCCGTTGGCCAAATTTATACCGTTTATGCTGTTTATACCGCCCAGTACTAGTGGGAGGGGACTGACCCACACGCCGCCCTGCTTTCAGAGCGCTTCTGGGCTATCCCGATTGGTGAGCCCGACGTGCTGCTGAGCGCCTTCGTGGACCGGTACCGAAGCTCCTGTCTGCTGGAGCAGCGGCTGCCAGCCATGAGGCCTGAGGACCTCAAAGCCGTGGTAAGAGGATCTCTGCACAGGCACAGTGGCGAGGCTCAGCCCCTGGCACACTGTGCTGACACACTTGGGGTTTTAGCATCACAATTTGCAGATGTAATATACCTTAAATTACCTGGCATATTATTGTTGTACATGATCAAGTTTGATTTTGTTGGTTTGTTTGTTCATCTGTTCATCCATCTATCAGTTTGATGCTTTATTAAACCCAAAGGAAATTGCAGGTTACAATACCACAACACGTGCATTTCGACAGTAAGA